GATGAACTGAAGGGGAGGTTATCACGGCGCCTGGTGCCTAATGTCCATCTGGGTACGATCCTGCCCAAGGAGGCAGAGTGGGCAGAGTCAGGTACGAAGATGGACTGGAAGTGCGTAGCCTGCGGTACGGTGGATTTGATGGTGAAGGGTTCCAAGTGCGCAGCAATGGTGGACATCGGGGCAGAGATGAACATTATTCGGGAGGCGGACGCGATCAGATTCGGGCTGGATATAGTCCGTTCTGACTGCGGTATTCTGCATGGAGCGAGCTGTAAGGCCATGTTTTGCGGGACAGCCTCGAATGTGCTCGTCGAGGTTGGAAAGGTGAAGGCCAGGGCATGCTTCTTCATAATGCCAGACGTGGACCATGGAATCCTCCTGGGGAGGTAATTCCTAAGCAGGACAGAGACCGTGATGTTCAACAAACATGATGGGACGTTGATCATCCTCTTATGCGATCCTGCCTGCGGGAATTATGAAATGATTGCCTGCAGGAACACCGGGCCAAGGAGTATAAGGAACCGGCCCAATCCAGGATCATTTACAATCGAGGAGTCGGAAGGAGAGCGCAGGAGGCTCTGGACAGAGCCCGAAGCAGGAGAAAGGGTGGAAGCATTTTCCCTCAGCCTGTCAGATGTTGGGAAGGCCATGGACCTGGTGGCCGCGCATGAGATGGCAGATCCGGATGCCATCCAGGCCTTGAGGGAACAAGTTCTGGAATGCCCTGAGGCAGAAAGGTTGGAATTGGTATATCGACTCCCAAGCAGCGGAGGGAACCCCGCACCAGTGCAAACACAATCCGTGAGTCGGCCTGTTTTAGGGGACGGCTCAAGCAGGGTTCCCGAATGCGGTACAAGATGGTAGACAAGAAGTACCGCCCGGTACCCGTCCTCGTTACAGAGGACGAGGAAGCATATTACGAGAGGGAACGAGGGTTGATTCGACGAATGAGGGAAAATGCTTTAGCAGGGCTATGTTGTATCAACGAAGGGAACGAGAAGGAGTTGATCATAGGGGAGTCTGATTTCCTGCTGCCTCAGGAGCGAATGTTGATGGTGGAATTAATGAAGAGGAAGCATCGCGCCTACGCGTTTAGTGACGAGGAGCGTGGCAGGCTGGATGTAGACAAAATACCTATGATTCGCATCCACACCGTGCCATACGAGCCTTGGAACATGAGAGGGGCGCGATATCCCAATCCTGACGAGGAAAGGAAGGTAGTGGATTACCTCGACGACAAGATACGTACTCACGTCGCCGACTATTCAAGTGGACCGTATGCGTCACCGTGGTTCTGCTTTATTAAGCCTAACGGGACGCTACGGTGGGTGCAGGATTTGCAAAGACTGAATGCAGTGACCGTGCGAGATGCTGGAGGACTGCCGAATACAGACGCGCTGTCGGAATCCTGTGCTGGAAGACCTATAATTTCGCTTATAGACCTTTACTCAGGATACAATCAGTTCCCAGTCTACCCGCCGGATAGGCCAGTGACGGCTATGCACACGCTGCGAGGATTAGTGCACATGAACGTGGCCCCACAAGGGTGGACCAACGCAGTAGCAATGGTCCAACGGGCCATGATTCAGGCCATGCAGTCAGTCAGCCCTCATATCACACAGCCATACATTGACGATTTGGCAGTGAAGGGGCCGGCAAYGAAAGAGAGCGACGAAGTCTCACCAGGGGTAAGGCGCTTTGTCTGGAAACACATCCAGGACCTCGAAAAGGTCCTGAGCCTGCTCGAAGAGCATAACCTCATGGCAAGCAGGGCCAAATCCAGACACTGCATGAGGGAAGCGACTATCTTTGGGATCGTCTGCAATGAGAAGGGCCGAAGGCCGGATGTGAAGAAGAAGGACAAAATTACTGAGTGGCCAGTTCCGTTCCACTCAATAATTGACGTCAGGAGCTTCCTTGGTACGTGTGGATTTTGGAGGGCCTTCGTCAAGAACTTTGCCGCTAAGACTGAACACCTGAGGAAGTTAGTCCGTCAGGATCAGGAATGGGTATGGGGTGAGGAACAAGAAGAGGTGGTCGCAAAAATGAAGGAGGAATTTCGAGAAGGAGGGCTGGTGTTAGGAGCGCCAGATTATGACGCCACAGAGACGCGACCCTTCATTGTCGAAACGGATGCGGGACTGACTGCCTTAGGGGGAGTTCTAATTTAGGCAGACATGGAAGGAAAGGAAAGACCCTTGCGATTTGAGAGCCGGACTCTCTGTACGACAGAGAGGAACTACTCTCAATTCAAGAGGGAGACCCTTGCTATCCTCTACTGTCTGCGAATCTTCCGGAACTATGTCTTCGGCAGGAGGTTTATTTTGAGAGTGAATCCGACCGCCCTGGCCTACTCTCTAAGGAATTACGTTCCATCGGATCCGACGATTGCCAGATGGCTGACGTACATCTGGATGTTCAATTTCGAATTGGAACGGATTCCTGGTAGTAAAAACCGGGCGGACGGACTGAGTCGGATCAACTGGGATAAGCAGGAAGGGGAGGCGGTGGAGAATATGCCCCCAGTTGATGGATTTCTGGATCAGGAAGAAGATGTTCGTCTTCATATCAACAAATGGTCGCCGCGACTGCCCAGCTGTGTAGGCTATCCTATCTGGGAAGCGCCAAAGGGGTATGGAAGGAGGAATGAGCTAGTCCTTAGGCCCTTTGAGGAAGAAGATCCCTGGGGCGGTAAGGATGTTCAGTGGATGATGGAGCTAACGTTGACCAACTCGCATAGCCTGGTGGAGGGCATGAGAACGATTGAGGAAGGACCTGGCTAGGTAGAACGGCATGAGGACCTCATGGGAGGAATGTATCTCCTCGTCAACACTCTATTGCAGGAAGGCCTCGACCAGTAAGGCTCGTTGAACTCGACAGGAAATGTGGACGAAGTACCCGAGAGCCAGGACGACGAGTTCGAGGAAGGAGAGATTAAGGAGGCTTTTTGTGCAGAGGAGTACGACGGGATCTACCTAGAACTGGGGTTTCTTCTGTCATGTGAAATGGGGCTAAGGGACGCAAGCGATATGGCTCAGAGGATGCTGTGGCGCTACTTAGTGCGAGATGACCACCTTTTCGTGAGAAGAGAAGTGGGGAATCCCAGGAGGGTCATCTGCGGTAGGAATCGTCAGATCGACGTCGTAGCATCACTACACGATGGCATTGCAGGAGGGCATCGAGGGGTACAAGCTACGTATGCCAAGATAAGTGAGCTGTATTACTGGGATGAAATGATGGACATGGTCAAGAAATTCTGTCGATCCTGCGTGCCCTGCCAAGAGAGATCCCGTTTAAGGCAGGGAGAGCCGCTGCATCCAAGGTTAGAGCGAGAGGTAGGGGCCGTAGTGTATTTCGATCTGCTTTTTATGCCGCTTGGGGATCAGGGCTATAACTATATCTTCGATGCGCGCGATAACATGTCTGGGTTCGTAGACGGGCGTGCTATTCGCACTAAGACCGGGTTAGTCTTAGTGAGCTGCATCGAGGAATATTACCTGCGTTACCCTTTCGTCAGGGAATTCGTAATGGACAGGGGATCGGAGTTTACCTGCCAGGAGGTGCAGGAATTGTTATCAAGGTATGGTATAGCAGCCAACTACACCACGACCGCGCACCCCCAGGCAAATGCTCCCGTAGAGAGAGGGCATAGTACCATTACGAGTCTCCTGGCTAAGTGGACCGAAGGTAGGCCTAATCAATGGCCAAGATACCTAAGGACGACGTTCTTTGTCGAGAACATTACAATAAAAAGATCCACCAAGCACGCACCGGCGACATTGTGGTATGGAAGGCACGCCACCTTCCCTGTCGAGAGTTTTCTTAAGACATGGAGGCGCCAGGATCTGGAAGTTAACCTGTCATTTGAAGAATTGCTCGATATTCGAGCGCGGCAGATAGGAGCAATAAAAGAAAGGATCCAGGAGGCGTCTGACCAGGTGACGAAAAGTCGTATGGACGATAAGGCTCGATGGGATCAATCTGCGCGGGTGAGGAAGGTACCCTTGTCAGTTGGAGATGTCGTGCTTCTCTACGATTCATCACTGGAGAAGCAATGGTCCAGGAAGCTCGATAAGAGGTGGTTAGGTCCCTACCGGATCGTACGGGTCGAAGACTTCGGAGCATATCAGATAGAGGAGCTAAATGAGACTGAGTGGAAGGATTGGGTATCTGGAACGCGTCTGAAGAAATTCGTGGCGAGAGAAGAGGTAAGGGAGACGACCTGACTGCCTTTAGAATAGAAGTAGCAGGGTGTGTAGGCTAGGTAGGATGTGTACTGTGTGAGTGTGGTCTGGTCTAAGTTTGCTTGATTATCACTTGTTTTGCTTACCCCAGTGTGTGCCTGTCGTCTCCTTCGCCTGTTGTGCAGGTCTGACTTTACGAAGACAGTCATGCCAAGAGGAGGGAGGGGGACACGGCCGCCTCGGAGGCCGTTGGGAGCATCAGGAGGATATGAGCGACATGGGCCTCGCCATCGAGAGAGTACTCCAGTATACGATGATGGGGACATCGAGCTATTCCTGGACAACTTTTGGGATCATGCGAGGCGTATGGGCTGAACCATGGCTCAGGCGATTGAGAGATTGAGGGGAGCAGGCAGATTCGAGGAGCCCATCGCGCGGATCCGTAGAGAGGCGACGACGAGATCAGAGGTGGAGTGGAGGATGCAGGAGTTGCGACCCTTGCCTGTGGGACCAGATGGCAGCCCAATCCGTCTAGAGATTGGAAACGTGGCAGACTTCATCCCTGCTTTCGAGTGGTTCATGAAGGGGCAGGGTATACCGAGAGATGAGTGGGCGAGGACGCTACCACTCTGGACAAGGAAGGCGGAAAGGCCGCTGGCTAGCCAAATCAGAGACATGGCCCGGGACTAGGAAAGTTGCAGGGCACATCTAAGAGAGGCCTTTCGACGGCCAGAGTCCCCCCACCCCAGAGTCGAGAGACGTCAGAGGAGTCAGAGGTCGAGGGACCTTGAGCCCAGTGAGGTGAGACTGTCTCGGGGAGGACGGAAGGCCCTAGCCAGGAGAGAGGAGGAGTCGGAGCGGGAGCCAGAGGTTGAAGAGCGAGGGGTATACCCTGAGTGTGGGTTGGGACCAGTGGAGCTCCATCGTTTTACTGAGGGTGGATTGAGGAGGTCACCAACACACACACGGAAGGAGCCGCCAGTGTTTGAAGGGCCGTTGAGAGAGTTAGAGACGCATCTGGATATCTCTTAGTGGAGAGCGTCGCCTCAGGATGAGAAGCATGAAGAGCAAGTAGAAGGGGTGCCACGAGAGGAGGTACCACAAGAGGAGGTGCCATGAGAGGAGGTGCCACGTGAGGAGGTACCACGAGAGGAGGTGCCACGAGAGGAGGCGCAGGGTACTCAGCAAGAGAGCAGGCTAGGCGACATGGGGAGACGTGCAGGGAAGGAAGTGATAGAGGTTGGAGAGGACACACCCCCACAGGCGCCAGCAATGGTTTTGAGACTCGGGGATGCACCAGGGAGCGCTCGTCAGGCAGAGGAGAGATTGCGGAGAGAGGAGGCCCCACTTCCTTCATCAGAGAGGGCTCCATCGCCAGAGGGGAGAGCCGGCTGGAGGAGAGAAAGGGCAGCTGTAAGGAGGGAAGCCTTGACCCTGATTGATAGGCACCTAGCAGCTTATGCCCTGGAGCATCTAGACCTGGAGGAGCCAGCACCTGCAGGGCCACGCTGGGAGCCGTACCAACCCGAGAAGGAGATGGAAGCAGAAATCCTGAAGAGGGTCGACCTCCGCACGAGGGAAAGGGCGCCAGCTGGAGAGACGGCTGAAGAAAAGAGAGCAAGAAAAACTAGACGGATAGATGAGATATGGCAGGAGAGGCAGAGGTTGGAGGCAGCGGGGGAGCTTCTGGAGCAGCAACAGTAGAGGCAGAGATCGGAAGCAGCAGGAGCACTCCCAGGTCAGTCACCCAGTGCGCCAGCTAAGGCCCCGGAGATTCCTGAGATGTGGAGAGACTTCTGGAAGCAGAGAGGAGAGGAACTTCCATCGCCAGTCAGAGCCGGGTTTGGGGTGGCCAGGAAGGCGGAAGAGAGGTTAGATCGTAAAATCAAGTTCCTGGCCAAGACCACTTTTGAACGGCACTTGTTATTGGAGGGCGATCTGACAGGGAAGAAGATGAAGGAAGCAAGCCATGGAGTACGCCTGGAGGCTATGGAAGTGGAAATTCAGGAACTCAGGGCCATGGTGGCCAGCCAGGCAGCTATCATCGAGAGCCTGAGGCAGCAAGCCCAGGGAAGGGTGGACAGGCCAGAGAGCAGCAGGCAGGGAGAGCTGAGGCAGCCAGGACAGGGATTGCCAGGACAGCCATCTGCAGCAGAGCCTCGCCAGGAGCCACCTATGGGGAGAGCTATCCTGGAGCCAGAGGAGGCGAGAGCCCAGAGACAGGCAGAGAGAGAGGCGTTCGAGTTTAGAGCCCCTACTGAGCTCGCGACGCTGCTAGTGGCGGCGGCAGGCCCAGTCGTACCTTTGGCAGTAGAGGAGGGGCTGCCTCCATCTAGCAGTGAGCCGGCTCAGGGCTTGGCAGAGGGATCCATGGGCGTGCTCCTTGAGGCGGTGCATACTATGCAGGAGGAGGTGAGTTTGTTTTCACCTGAGCAGAGGATAGAGGAGCCTCTTGAGAGAGAGATAGGGATTGAGGCGGAGAGTGCCATCGGGAGCAGGCTCCAGAGGATGGGCACACCATAGTATGAACCAGAGGAGATTGAGGAGCAGCCCATGACAGTGCCAGGAGAGACACTCGAGAGGAGGCCTCCGAGGTTGGACACACCTGAGTACGTCCCGGTAACTGGGGATTTGAGGAGCAGACTGGGGTTTAGGGCTACAGGATCTGGGTCTGGGGGACCGGTTTCTGGGACAGAGCAGCAGGAGGTCGTTAGTACCGCAGCTCCTCAAGCAGAGCAGCAGGGGGTTGTCAATACCTTGGCAGGATCTCCTTCATCACCACCCTCTCAGCCCAGGAAGAAGAAGTTCAAGAGGAAGGTTGATCAACTATGTTTCTACTGCAAGAGGAGCGTGCATCATGCTCTGGACTGTYTCGAGTTCCTTGAGGATAAGGCAGCAGGGAAGGTCTCAGAGGCAGGGGGTAAGATGTATGATAGACAGGGTAGGATAGTAGAGAAGTCCGCAGATGGACTTAGGACTTAGTTATATAGGCAAAACCAGGAGGAATTGAGGATATAGTGCCGGTTTGTCTATATAGGTGAGTGAGTATCTTGTGAGGCATCAGCTTAGGGTCTGTGTGATACCCTCTTAGACTCAGAGGATCTTTTTGATGATTGCTACTAGTGTAGATTTGAACTTTTGTGTTCCTACTGAGTTGGGGTTTTGAGGGTCAGGGTGGTTTAGATGAGGCGTGTACATATTTAGGTGGCCTACGCCCTGGCCTTTGAGAGATAGATCTGACATGAATTCTAGGGGTTGTTGTCAATATGGGTTTGGTGTAGCTTGAGTTGAGTGAGCTATGATTTGAAGACACTTTCTGTGTGAGACATTTTATTCCCTGAGTGTATATTATGATGAGGTTTTATTTCAGGGACCATTCTTATATGTGACGATCATTTGTCTCTTTCACATGTGTTGATTGTACTCTGATGAATAACGAGTTTGTGTGGACAATGTGTGAAAAACATCTTATGTGGCATGGGTACAGTGAATATGATTGTAAGCAAAATTGTCTACTCCTCGGTATACTTGTGCGACCTGCCCACCGGCAGCTGACAAGGCAGAGTATAAGGGGAGGAAGTGCAGTCCGCTGTGAAAGGTTGTGAGGATTTTGAAGATTTATGAGTCCAAGAGGCTCAAAATGCTTACCATGTAGATTGTTGGTTGCTTAAGTTGTGATGAGGACCCATAAGATGATCTCTCAGTGATTGTTGTTTATAATAAGCCCCCTGGATTTTGGAAAAAGGGATGTTTTGTAATGTTGTGTGTTATGATGAGACCCCCTCAAAATTTTGAAAAGGGGAAGTTTGGTTTTATGGCAAGACCCCTCGTGATTTTGGAAGAGGGGGTGTTTTGCTTATGATGAGAGCTCTTTGGATTTTTGGCACAAGGGGATGTTTTTGTTGTTGGGAGACTCACCTTCGGAGGTGAGTAAACTGATTTATGACATGGTAAGTTGCCTGATGAGTGATAAAGTCTGACGAAGAGGGCCACTTTTGTTTGGAATGATTGAGAAAGTTGCAATGAGTGCAGGGCAAGAGATGTCTCAGAGTAAGTGGTTGCTGACTCTGATCAAGTCAGGGGTCACGGCCTGGTAGACCTAGCGGTGATTTTGTTTGTGAGCGTGCGAAGGATGCCATGCCTATTGTGGAAGGGATGGTAAATGCCTCCAGACCCCTGCGTGATCGCGCGGTGGGCCAGTGTTTTTGTTTTGCGACGCCCCGTCTAACCACTAGTGCTAATTCTGAGACATGTTGAAGAAAGGCCAAGCTAACGGAAAAAAAGTTAGTATCTCTAGGGCGTAACCCCATTGGATGGCTGCTAGCCGGCGCAACCTGGCTGCGGGACCGCGGGGTAAGAGTTTAAGGGGGGGGTGCCCGCCTCAGGGAAATTACTCCGTGGGATAGTGAAGGTTGAGATTTTGGGAGGTCCTGATTGAGTGCTTATCAGGAGAAACCCTATCGTTGCGTAACCAACGAGGGTACTGCCGTTAAATAACTATGCGGTGGGCCGTAGTCCTGGTCCGATCAACCAGGCTATGGTGGGCCAAGATGGAGACCTGGCTTTCTGTACTAGACTGCAGAAAGAGCCGAGTGAATATTAAGTATACATATATACTTATGTGTATTTTATTGCGAGAGATTTTGAGAAGGAAGGCGAGAGTGCCTTCAAAGGTCTCGGTTAAGGCCCGCATCCCTAGTCTTGCCAGGACTAGGGACACCCAACGAGAAGCTGAAGGTTGTCTAGGACCGGGGAGAGGACGATTGGGAAGGTCTTTGGAACTTATGATTGTCAGCGTCCTAGTTTCTGGGCAGTACGAGGCCCGGGTTAGAAAACTGGCAGCATATAGTTGTGGAGACATGGTTTGATGGAGGCCTCTCCCCTGTGTTGTTCGGCTAATCGGATTGGTTCCTCTTTCGTAAGCATTTGGAGCGCGGATGAATTTATAGCTTTTTTGATTTGGCGAAGCGACGGGGACATCGCTTAATATGGTCTAATAAGCTATCGGCGCGAATACCCTTACAAGGGTATCCGCCCTGTTTTTTTTTTGTTTTTTTTTTTTTGCAAGTAACAGAAAACAGTTTTGGTTTAAAGTTGAAGTATACCACGCTAAGCGCGGTTACGTCTGTAATTGCGTTGACTGGGTGGTTGACCACAATAGCGTAGAGAGTGTATGGGCGCGCATACTTGAGGCGCACATGATTTTTATTTTTATTGATGACATTTAAAGAGCCGGCGTGATCGCCGGTCAAATTTTATTTGTTTATTTATTTTTTATTTAGATTAGGATTAATTAATATGAAAATTTTGATTAGTACGTCTGATCGAGACACGCGCATGAGGGTGGAGAGYGGCCTCGGCAACGGTGGGAATTTCTTTATAATGAACTGGGTGCGCAACGTCGAAGGATCGGCGGGGCCATCCCCGCCCCCTCCTCCTGGCTTTGCCATCGGCTGCGTCRGGATGRGGYCAGCGGTTATCTTTCCAAGTTTCTTCTAATTATTATTTATTGCCATTAGTGTTTAATTTTATGATTTGATTTTTCGCAAGTAGGGAATGACATCGGCCCCGGATGGCTGCCACGGTAATTGGGAACCTTGGGCACGCGCCCCCTTTTTTTTTTAATGGTCCCGACGGGTTCCTGCATGTTTGGGGCGTTGGGGAAAGTCTTCCATCCCGCCTATTTAGGGGAAAGGGGCCGAGGAGTCAACATGAAAGGCCAACGGGTGTGTGCTTGGCCTACGACGCTGGCCGGGGCTAACTGACGGGCATACGAGCCTAGTCATGTTGTCCGCTGTGACAGTTTTGAGTGTGAGCATGCCGTAGGGGCTCGGGTATAGGAGCAGAGGCAGGCAATAGGCAGCAGCGGGCGGGGCCACAACGCAGAGGAGTAGCGGGCGGTGGGTCCGATCGGGCAGCCTTAGATAGCAGTAGGGGAAAGGCGAATGAATCGGGGCAGAAAGCCGGGCGGCGCCAGGCAGCAGTGGGTATACAGCGCAGCAGCTAGACAGCGCARCAGAGTGCTACGACAAAGGGGGGCACTGTGGCRGAGGCCACAACGATACTGCCATGGTAATTGGTCGTCGGGCTGGGGTACGGAGGTGATAGACTCACCGGGCCGTTTAGTAGCTGGTTCCCTCCGAAGTTTCCCTCAAGATAGCTGGAGTTGTTGAACGTCGGACTTGAGTATAGGGGCAAAGACTAATCGAACCGTCTAGTGGCTGGTTCCCACTGCAGTTTTCCCTGGAGGCAGCAGGCGCTGTGTATCGAGGTGGCGAAGCGTGGCGATCGTTTCGTCTGTCGGGCTGGTCGGAGTAACCGGGGAAGTGGCTGCATTGAGGCACAGACAGGCCGAGAGGAAGGGGAGAACAGAGACAGAAAGCGGAGTGCCAGACAGGCAGAGCGAGGCAGCCTAGCTACGGGCTAAGGCAGGCAGCGGACGGACAGGCGCTAAGGCTGAGGGGTGGTGCAGCAAAAAG